TGGTCGTGACAATTTAGTTCCCGCCTCGGACTTTGAAAGGACTAACAGGCAAGGGCGCTGTAAATAGGAGCGTCCTATATTCGACGTGGAGTAATTTCAGACTAATTTTCTCACAGTGGAATCCCCTTTACAAGAAAGAAATTTTTAGCATTTATTAAATGAATTTTTTAATTGAATTTTTCTTGTCTGAATATTAGATTCTTTTATAATAATAGAAAGAATATAGTAAATTTTTTAAAAATCTGGTACAATTCATTATACACTTTATACATAAAAATAAAATTATTTTTTGGATGATGCACGTGTTTCAACAGATTAAAAATTGATCTGGAAAAGATTGCTATCGTTTTAATTACGTGAAAATTTATAATTAAAAATATATTCAGGAGTTTAATTATATTCAACTCCTTACCAAAAAATGAAATTATTATTTCAATAAAAAACAACGTTTAATTTTAATATTTAACAAATGAACAGGCAAAGTGAAGCCAATATTTAACGAACTGAAGTTAATTATGAAATAATTTTCGAACGTAAATTTCAAAAATATAATGTAAAATAATTCATTGATTACGTATGAAAAATTTTACGAATCTTCGATGTTTATTATTCAAACAATATCTCAGTGATGAAACGAAACAAAGTTTTTCATGAGAATATTCGAACAGTGTATTCCAATTTCGAAATTATTATTGTTTGCTTCGTGGAATTTAACAAGTCGACAGATAAATATTTTGAAACGAAACGAAACAAAGTTTGTACGATTCAACATTCGCCGTCAATTTATAATGTCTCGAGACGAAAACAAAGTCGGCTGTTAAAGTAGACCGTCTCAGTCGCTCGAAACTCATCGATCGGTTAACATCGATAGACTCGCGCGGGAAATGAGATTTGCATGTAACCGGAGATAATGGTAAATCGTGCTCGCTGAAGGCAGTAAAAGTAACGTCAGATCGATCTCTGAATATGTATCGAGGAACAAGCCGATGACGTGATCGACGAGCAATATCATTTCATCCACGATGATGTCTCTCCTTTTCTTCCTTTCCTTCGAACTGATGAAATTCCAGCCGTAGAAACGAATTTCGTTGTGCATCGTCGTCGATAGCTGTAAAAGAAAGGAAGGGAATCCACGTAGATCGTGCTTTTCTCCAACGATCGATTCGAACTCAAGTTGAAGAGGATAAGCAAGAGGATCGTTTAATAATCTGATTTCGAATGTGCGATAAATTCGACTCTGTGGAAATAGAAAAAGATATCGTGTCTCAATGATATTCGTTAAAATGTGCATATACTATAACAATCATTTAATTGTCGTTATTTCTTCGATTGAGAGATATGTTTCGACGATTTACCGTCACATTCACGCGATCATGAAGCTGAGATTCAAGAGAGAAGAGGAGGAAGGAAGAGAGGAAGGATCTGAATATCGATCGACGAAATCTGTCAGCTCCTCGATCGACAAGAAACGTGCATATACGTGTCGTTTTGCTTAATGCCTAAGTGTAGAAACGTCTAAGATCGATTAAGTAAATAAAATTTATTTATTGAATAGTGGCACACCAGTGATGACGCGACAAGTATTCAAACTGAACTCGCTTCCTTCGAATCAATTTTTTTCATAACCAATTTTTTTCATATCCATCGTAACATCCGTCGCAATAATATTTCCTCGTCTCGAACGAAATATGCAATTACGACGATCGCTACGTCATGTGTTTGGGCGAATCGTGCCCGATTTTGCGATTTATCGGAAGAGGGATATATATCCTCGGGATCGAGAAAGAAAAAAGGAGGAGGAAGAAGGACGAACGTCGAGACGGTTCTCGATGAACCGACGTGTCTCGTGGAAGAGCGGCACTCTTAATTAATCGACAGGGAATGAAGAATTCATTTATCAACCGGGATTAACTGGTTCTTCTCGATGCAATTATACGGAAACTCGATTATCTCCAAGCAACCATTGAAAATTTCTTGCCGCCTCTTCTGAAAATGAATTCTTCATCGTGGATGAATCTTCAACGAAACGAAAGTTACGAATTAATTTGCGCAATCTTCGATTTACGAGCATCCATTCGAGCGAGGACATTTATTTCCGACAATAATCGTCGCAATATTTGTCATCGCGTGTTCATCGCTGGGAAATGCTTGATCCCCATCATCGTCGAATTGACACGGAGGTATGTAAATCGCGTGATTGAAAAGCTCGTCGAAAACACGTTACAACAACGTAATAATCCCTTTTAATCGTGGCACGATTCGCTCCTCTTTCTTATCACGCATTCTATCAATCATACACCCATCAATCGCATCCTTTCTCCTCGTTACATCGTTAATAACGCATTAATAAAACCGTCGAGCAACGCGATCTCTCTTCTCCTTCCGATGAACATTGTTCTCTTCTTGTATGTACACGGTATGTATGTGTTTGTGTGTGAGTGTGTGTATATAATGTGTACGTGTACGACGCGGTGCGCAATACTAAAAACGCCCTCAAGAAACTTCCTTCCCGACGAAGGCGGCGGATGTTCGAATTTTCGGTGAAAAAATTTTCGGTCAACTGTACATAATCGTATCCCCTCGATATATTAATAAACTGTCGATCGTGTCAAAATATGACTAAAGTCTCTTACGCGGCTACGCACTTACCTTATGGAATTATATTATTTAAACTAACAATACGGTGCTTGTATGCTCGCGTACACCGTACAGATTGTACGTTCGTGTACGCGCCCATACGCGTTTTATTTTTTTTTTATACAATTCGTCCTGTGAATCTACACCGAAGTGTATCCACCGATTCGATGAACAAACACGATCGATCATTTTATCAACCGTGTCTATTTATGACACAGAACGCCATACATAATCGACGAACTTATTCCTCGAGCGTACGCGCGTTCGCGGGATTCTTCCTAATCTAATATTTCCCGCACGATCGATCGTTACAGGCTTCGATCGTTCGAGGCTGACCGCAGGCACACCGAGAAATCCATTCGTGGAAATTTGCTCCTAATCCTCTCATCCCCCTGTTGTATAAAACGCGTTGTGAAAAATTTCTGGTCCGCTGCGCGGTCAGACTGTCCATCATCTGGCGACTGGTGAACGGCGCGGAAACAAAGGTCAGGGTGCAAAATCGTAACGATCAGGTAACGCATTTCGAAATCTTTGTACTACATCCTTCTGTGATTCGTTTCGTCTCTTCTAAGAAGAGACGTTCGAGGTTTGCTCTAGATGTTTCTTTTTTTTTCTTTTTTCTTTTTTCTTTTTTTTTTTTTTAAATTGTACATATCAGACGATAAATTTGAATACGATGATTGATCTTGGACTATTTCCTAGATATCCTCGTTCCGATCGTGTTGGTCGTTTGGTCGAATAGATTTGATGACATCCGTCCTAAGTTTTTTTATCTATTCTAAACTCTTCTTTTTTTCTCTCTCTCTCTTTAAACGCTGCGACCTAATCCAATCGATTCTTCGTATTCCATTCTTATTAAATAGCGCTTCATTGTGCATGTTCCGTGGTAATATTGTATCGATCGAAATTTCGAAACTTCTTCGTTGGTCAACCCGCTCCTCTAAGGATCGAGCATAAGCGAATCAAGATTTTTTTTTTCTTTAGGCCGTGAATTATCCATCCACGCGCACGGATTAAAGCTTTCTCCTTTTTTTTTTTTAGTCCATGCATCTGTATCTAGACCGTTTGACTAAATTAGGCTATCTGTTGGCAGTGATCACTATGAGTTTTGGTCCGAGTCTAATCACACGTATCGTTGATCGACGTAACATTGTTCCTCGCTCCACTACTTCTACTTCTTCGAACGTGCCAAACGAGAACCTTTCCCCGTCGATGCTCTCGACCTCGTCTCTGCCTCCATTTCGATATGTTTAGCATGAAAATCGGACTCGCCGCTTTCGACCAGCCCGGACAATTGAATCGGCCGTTCAACTACCCCTATTCGATATATATATATATATATACTTCCCAGCCTCGAAAGTCCTCGCCTTGAAGAGCGAACGATCGGCCCAAATTGATTGGCGTTGCACGCGGTGTTTCATTTGCTATTCAACTTCGTCAGAACGATGGAACGCGTTCGTTCGCACGGTGACGCTTTTCGGATCGATCCCGTTTTATTGGCGGACGAGCATCCATCCACGATCCATGACATGGAACAATACTCCATTCGTAACAAACCACCCCGTTCTTCACGATATCCATCGTGTAAACTTGATTCGTTTCCCTGTAGTTCGTTGAAAAGTAATCGATGCTCGTTCCATATCGATCTTTGCAACGTCTTTACTCGTTCGATAACGATGGTCCTCGATACGACGATCTCCTCTATACGATCCACGACGACGGATCGATTTTATTTTATTTATTTATTTTATTTTATTTCTTTTTGGCACATGTCGCCAATTCTTCTTCTCTAAACGAAATTCTAAATTGTTATGTGTCGTCACGTGGACAGCCGACCGATCGATGATCCAACCATGATGTCGCCGATGGCAGTGGGTAGGCCGGTTCGCGGCCAACTCATCCGCCCCGGCGACTACATATACTATAAGCAGGTCTCCTTCTGGTCGATTACGTTCACCACCGCCGAGGTCTGGATAGGCAGCTCCTTTTGGACGGGCACACCTGTCGGCACCTCTTCGAGTATTGGTCAAAGGGTCGTGGTCCTCGATACGGCCGCCGAGG